TCCTGGTACCATACCCTTCCTGTCTAGTTTATAGATACTAACAGCACTGGCTCATTGCTATGTAAAGTAGAGCAAAAGACTGCTTGGCAATTAGGTATACTGTTAGGGAAATACTGGAGAATTATTGATTCAGAGGTCATGTTCTGCCCCCAGTAGCGTTGTAGAGTCTAGTAACACAAATACACATTACTAGAATGCCCTACCTTCCTACATAAATACATTTTTTAACTGGAAGCTGTAGCTGTATGTCTTGGCCATACTCTCCAGCTCAAAGGTATTTGCTTTAGGTCTCAATATGGATTATGTACATGGTCAATAAACATACTAACAATACTACTACAAGTAATAATAGCAGTAATAATATTAAAATCAGATCCATGTCTACAAGAAAATAATCTGTCACTAAGAAATTGCTTGAAGTGAAAGGCAGTTGCTGGTATGAAAAACATTACATTTTATAAACAAGTTTAGCAGTTTTGGGTCTGTCTTTGTTCTCAGATGTATGAGTATTGCTCAAAGTAACCTGGAGTAATTTGAGACGACTACTGGAGATAACATTAAAATTCTGCATTCTGAAATTCTTTGGTGGAGGTAATGGCATATTTTCTTAATTGTGCAAAAGTATGTTCACAAGAAGATGAATTATGAAGTTTCTCACCAGGTAGTTATATACTCCTGTGCCCCTTATGTATAATTTACAAAGCTTGTGAAAGTTTAACACAGACAAAAAAAAAATCCCCCCAAAAATCAGCTGAGTCTCAGAATTAATGCTACTAAACTGCTCAAACACCTGTTCAAGCTAGCTAATAAACACGACTAGCTGTGTTTTTGCAAGGATGCTAGCAGGTAGCGCAGTCTTACAATAAAACAAGCGAGGTAGAAGATTTGGGGGGCTTGAAAATCTGCCATAATTTACAAAAATTGACAGCTATGACTGCTATGATTATAAGCAAACTAGGGCTTGGACCATACACTACTCTACACAGGTGTTGCTAAACTAGCGTAATGAACGCTGAACAACAAGAAAGGTGAGAGATGAATATTTCCCCACCTATGCACGCACACACGCACGCACACACATTTGGCCACTGATGTTTACACACAGATAGACAAAGATATGCAGAGTGCAAAGGTTGTTGGGAAAAGGTAAGAAATAATGAGTTTCTGCTATTTTTACAGCAGATGGCGCCAGTCACCTAACTTGTCCTCTTTCAGATGACATTCAGTCCCCATTTACCCGCAGGTTTTCTCTACAAACATGTATCACAGTATAACAAAAAGCTCAACTGGAGGCACGAGAATACCATGTTTTGTTCTTTTTTTTTTTTTTTTTAATTTTCGATCGTGTGTTTTGAAAAAACAAACAAACATCTGAACTGAAATAATCTCCTGTATTCTAACACAGCTGTGAGCAGTGAGTCATCTGTCACCTCTGGTATTCTCACAGTCATTTTAGAATGAGACAGACATGATAAATAACATCAGCTGGTGATTACAGAAGAACAATATGTTCTAGTATGTACAGTGCACCGTAACTAGAAACCAAACCTCAACCAAATCACGTCGTGTTAAAAACTGATGTATCTGATCCCGTTGAACTCAGTTCTGTCTTATGACTTATGTGAAACGACCAGGAAGCTGCAGCAATTATGTTTGTCATTTGTCCTCATGCTGTGTCTGAGACCAGCAGCTAGTACACCGTCTGTGGGGGCTTTAGCCCATCAGTCCTGGCCCTCTAAACTGGGGATTTAAGGGGCTTACAGGGGGCTAAACCCCCAAGATTGGAGCCCTCAACCGCCTGTTTGAGAGATTACAGTCTTCAGTCTCTTATTTTCACCTCTCTGTCTTGGTGGAACAGCGGGAAGTGCGGAGGGTGGTCGTTAGAGACATGCCTCAGCTTGACATCTCCAGAGAGAGGAAGTGCAGATAATTGTTGTGTTAGTGTTAAGAAGGTTGATGAAGACTTAAAAAAAAAAAACAACTTTCAAACTAAAAAGCTTTTTAACATTTCTAAATATATTGAGTTTGGAGATGGGAAGAGGTGTATATTATTGTATGCACATATGGATCAGGGCCGTATGTAAAATATATATATATATAATTTCTACTCCTATAATAAACAATTAGGTTAAAACATTTATATAAAAAAACACTTTTACTTATGGAAGTCGCCTCTTTTCCTTTTTCCTCAAATGCAAGTTTATTATAATAATTAAGTAAGAATCAAGTTCACACTATTAAATCATAGTATAAGACATGCAAGTCTTTAAGACTATATGAAACACTGACATTTACTCTGTTATTTTCTGTTTCTCCTCCATTTGGGAGTGGTCAGATGTCTGCAGATTGCTGGTCAGAGCATGAAGCTTATGCTCTATTTCTCTCTTAGAGATGTGAGGAATGGAAGTAAGCCATGCTGCATCTTTAATGAGAGTCTGACATCTTTAGTGCCGCTGTCTCACTATCTGTCTTGCCAGTGCCTTCTTCAGCATCACCTTCATGGCACTTCCAGAGCGGACAGAATACAGAGAATGCCACAAAGCATCACAGGCCCTTTTAAGCATATGAATACCGCCTCACGCACTGTTGAGAAGTAGAAATCATTTTCTAGTTTTAGATAGCAAGAAACAGCACCTAATAAATCACTGGAAAGGATTGAAATGATTCTGTCTCCTCAGTGACATTTAATTGATTGGCATAATGGTTTTTATAGACTCTTCATTAGCCTATTACAGCACTGAATCAATGCAACATCATTACAAGCATGATTGAACTGAGTACCAGGCATCTGCTGCAGGGCACATTGGTCTCTGTTTGTACAGTCATTAATGTCTCACTACACACATGAACTGGCAAGGTTATATACTTTACAAGTGGCTTGAATCTGAATGACTGAGTGCGTTTTATTGGCTTGATACTAAATGAGGACGATGTAGTCTAAGCGCTAAATTGACAACAACAACAAACAAAGGACATCTATTGTTCACTAAATAGGGGTAAAAATGCATCGTGTCCACTGGAAATATTTATTGACTTTGTTATTGTCACATTTAAAATTCTGTTTTCGTTTAATTAGCTTTTTCCCCCTCAAAATTTAGCATACAACAACTGCCACTGAACCTAAGCAACTTTAAGCTCATGCAAATGTAACCTTATATTTAGTCTTGCAATGATTGAAAAAAATAAGGTGTTAAGAGACGATTAAATTAAATTAAGAGAAATGATTATGGAATCTAGACATCAGCATAACCACACCAAAAGCTTTAAATTGTGTTCTTTATTTCCACAGTGCAAAAATGATATATTCATTATCACAATCTAACCACCTTACTTCATTTCAATTCAGTAAAACTTGCTTTTAAGCATCTATTTAGGCATTCTTAATGCATTTTTATGCAAGTCGTTGTGTGTCTGTAAGCGTGCGTGAACTGAAAAGTTAGAGGAATTGTATCCTATTTCACCCTCCATTCTGTCCCAGAGGGAGTGTCCTCCACTGTTCACAAAACAAAGTACTCCTGCGCACGTGGTGGAAAAATTTGTTTAACCCATTCACCCCTGAGATTTCCATACAGTCTGTGTTCATTGAGCTCTGATAGGATCTAAATACTTCTTTTGAGAAGTACACAAAAACCATGCACTAAGGTCAGAGTGACCTTTTTGTATATGTGCATGTTTATGTGTGCGTATGCTGGATAGAGCGACTTGCTTTGTGCATGATCAGTCGACCACATCCCTCTCAACAGTCAGGAAAAAGGGGTGTCTACCTTTTGACAGCTGATTTTTATCTAAGCGAGGGCATAGCAGTTGTCTATTTGGGACATGCGACATGATTTATCTAAAAGTGTGTTTTAAGTGAGTGCTTTTTGCCCTGATTTTCTTTTCCTGTATTAACTTAAAAACAAATGCCTAATTTGATAATCAAATGCAGGTCAGCACAGCACAGCGTGGTGGACTCACTAGTTCCATTGCTGGCCTTTTTTTAAGCCTTCCCTTCCTCCCTAACCTGACCATCACATGTTTGTGAAAAAATCATTTTGTTGCCTCCAACCCCCCTTTTTTTATACCCCCAACAAAATATAAAACACAACCTGGCCAAGCTTGTGGTGGTGGTGGGGTTAAGAGAAATGGAGGGAAGGTTTGACGAAAACAACAGATCTCTGCTCGCTAATCCTTTTGTGTCGATGGTGTTAATCCATCCAAGCAAACCCAGCCCCCCCCCCCACCATCAACCTACCCACCAACTCGAACAGCTCACCCTCCCTTAACCCCTGATTCATGCACCATAGACCAGGCTTTCTCACCACTGAAACAACTGACAGCGCTACTGAAACCAATACTTATCCCCCAGACAGTCAAGCGGGGGTGCACAACAGTCACAGTAGCAGCACCCCCCACCTCCACCCACCAACAAACATGCAACTCGGGCTCAACTCTGTCCTTGTTTTCATCCCGTTCATCTTTTGTGGCCACTGGGAACAAGTCTCTGCACTGCATTGCTTGTTTTGTTCTTCTATGCAAAACATATTTTAAATTTGCATCAGCAGGTCAATGTGTGTGCGCATTAGAAAGGGAAAAGTATTGTTGTTTTCTCTCTTTTTTTTGTTTCTTGCCTGCGTGCATTTATTACTCTTTGTTTTGACTACTGTACATGTAATGAATGAACTTGAAAGCAACACAGCAACACCGCAAGTGGGGTTTTTTTTATATGTGTGTGTGTATGTCCTGGTGTTGTTTACGAGCTGTGAGAGAGAGAGGGAGGGAGGGAGGGGGTAGCAGGGAGGGGAATCGCATCGGTTGCCAGGGGGAGAGGAGGTTGTGTCTAATGAGGTCACACCCTGGCAACCTGGTGACTCCTCCCACTCAGGCCCCCCCTCCATCCCTCCTCCCTTCTTTCCACTTGGCCCCCTTTGAATGTGCCCACCCACTCAACCCTCCACCCCCCGCCTTCGCCCCCTGACAGAGAGAGCTCTCCGTGGTGCTGAAAGCAGAAAAACACGATTCAGTTACAGCCCAGTTGCTAAGGGAAGGCAGGCGAGGCACACAGGACGAGAGCATAAAAATGACTAACTGCAAAAAGAGGCTGGGGTATGAGTGCTTTTGAAGATGAGTTGAAAAGCACACAAGAGAAAAAAAAGAAGAGGGACAGAGGATGACGCTCTAGTGGAAGGTGGCTACAGTAGGCAGTGGGCGTGTTCTTCTTGTTGTGATCTATAGTTGGGAAGCCCAGTGTCATCTGCTTAAGCACAGTGTGAGCGTGCAGACCTATCTGTCTAAGCGGGACGGAGGGAGCAGGCAGGGAATGCCTTACCTGGAAATGCACATCACTTTGCTCTACCTCGGTCTGAACCTTGAGGGCACTGTGGATAAGGATTCCTTTTACCCGGGCAGCACTTTGACATGTTAAAGCAGAAGGAAAGACATTCTGGAAATTAGAAAGACTTTGAGTGCCTGGTCTGTAACTGCAAGTGGGAGCTTCATGTCAGAGCGTGTGAGTGTGTTAGTGTGCATTTGCGAGATGTATGCGGGTGCGGTCAGCTGCTATGCTGCATCTTCCTTCCATCTTTAGCATGTGCAGATGTTTGAAGAAGTGAAGCTGACATCTGGCTTGAACTGTGGAAACATCTGGATTGGAGCGGACGCGTCTCCCTTTTTTGCCCAGGGAAGGGAGCACTGGGCCGGGTATCCAATGGCCCGGCTCCCTTCTGGCACCAGCCTTATCCTGGGTCACAGGCAGTCTTTCTAGCTGGCCAATCAGTTGGACCATACAATGGATAGAAGTCTATGTGGCTTTAAGTGGAATAGTGCACTGGTGCTGCAGCATAGCTCAGAGTTCATTAGTGTACAGTGGACTTGTCAGGGGAAGACAGACCTCACATTGGTCCACAAACCAGTAAGGACACAACCCTATTGTAAGTATGCATCAGAACTTTTTTTTTATTCACAGCACTGACCTACAAACCCACAAAGCACTGACAAAAAATGCCTGCTTGTCTAATGCTACTGTGCACCCTTCTCAAGTGCCTATAAAAATAAATCAAGTGTAAAGACATGCCAAGTGTTGCATCAAGTAAACATTAGCTTTAACTTGGTCCTAGAATGATTGTGTGTGTCTGTGTGTGTGCGTGTGTGTATATGCATACGCAAGTACCCATGCATGTTGTCACCAGATTCTTGCCCTTGCAATCTTTCTTGACAGTGTGTCTCTAGAATATCCATGCTGGCCTTCTCCTGTGACATGGTTGCTTAGAAACAGAAATGGTGTGCCACTATCATTTAAAGCAAAGTGCACCTCTGTGTTCCAACTGTTGCACCCAATGTCAACTAGGGCAAATGGAGGTATAAGGGGCAAGACAGAAAAGAGAGAGAATGCATCATGTCACTGAGCAAGGCACTGAGCAAAACAAGCTTTGCTTAAAAAAAAGAGAATGAAAATGTTCACTGAACTGACAGGTTTTATGGAGATGAAAAATTAATAATAGCTTTTTGTATCATTGAGTTGAGGGAGGACAATCCAGTGAGAAAGGTTTGGTTGGTAAAAACACTGTGATAAACAAGTTGATTCCAGTGCAGAGTGCTGCTGCAGGCTTACAGGGATTAGGCAGGCAGGCTTAATTCAGCTCAAACACTGTTTGAACTGTGCCTTCCCATTGCCGTACCTCTAACTGGTGTGCTTCGTTTTCCCTCAGAAACTGTGATTTGAAAAAAAATTGGTATTTGTGCAGCTGTAGGTGTTACACTGTGCCTGTGCATTAGTGATAAAACCTGATTATCAGGAGAAAACATCTCTGCACCACTTGACACCAGGCATCCTTGCCCTAGTTTGAACTTTGCTCTTGAGATCCTGTGTTTTGGCTCTTATCAGTCCTCTCATCTTGCCTGTAAAAGCCTATGCAAAACAGTTTTGAGATGCATCATGGATGCTGAGGGATGGCCAGACAATGGCTAGCCTCTGAGTTGGCCATGCAATCTCCATTTGGCTGCCCTCCAAGACCCCCCTTGCTCCCCTTGCCTCTCTACACACACACACATGCACATGCAAACATATATCGAGATATCACAAGCTCCCTCCCCCTCCCCACGCGAGCTCACACTCAGTGCTTGTCTCACACGTAAACAAGCATGAGTCTTAGGTTGATCTGAAAACACTGACCTACATAAAAGCATGCTCTGTCTTCTCCTCTTCCACCACTGCCCTCTCGAAATTCACATTTGGCCGTTGCACATTGTATGTACTGCGTTACATGCGGTTGCACTTGTTTTCAGCCAAGTGAACATACATGCAGACTGAATCGCATCATTATCTGCTTCGTTCTGTGCCTCGACTTTAAGTGGCTGCAAACGATTGCTTTTATAAACTAATTACCGTCTAGGAGTGAATCACTGAGTAACTGCACAAGTGTCGACATTTCACAGAGAAGGCTTCTTCTCACTTTTTTCATTAAGAACATTAATGTTATCACCGACTCAAAAGGCAGGACTCGAGAAGAGAGTATTTGAGGATTTAAGAGACAAGATTGATGATATTTATAAATGTAAAAGCATGCTTCATAGTTTTGTTTCATTTGTGCTGATCTGATTGCTTCCAGGAGTTTTATGCTTTCCGAGTCCAGGCTATATTATGACTGCAGAAGATGAAAGCCCTTTTTCAGTCTCATTCACACACTAGCTTGGTTAAAGCCAGTAATTTCAGCCAGAAAATGTGCAAACACAACTGAGAAAATTAGCAGCCGCTACTGTTCCACACTGAAGCAGAAGGTTATGAGTAATTGTTGCTAAATAGTGAGTCTTAGCTCTTTCCATGTGCACATGAGCTTTTGTATATGTTTGCATGTGCGTGTGTTTTTTTGTGTGTGCGTGTGTGCATCTGTGTGCAGAGTGAACGGTAGAAAAGGATGTTGCAAACCTCCAGGGAAAATACTCTTCTGGATCCAGACATGATGCAAGGCCCACCACCTACTCTACAGCAACATTCAGACATATTCAAAATCAACAGCAATGTCACATATACTCAACATGTGGCACTAACGTGTGGCCTGTGAAATGCATCTTTTCTCATGACTGGCCCACTCTTGTATTTTGTGACCCTTCTCGAAGAATAATTATGACTGATATGTCTTATATGCCCCCCAGAATGCAGTGGAAATACTTGAAGAATGATGAGCTCCAAAGAGGAGGAAACTCTCAGCTTTTTCCAATATGTTGAGGAGAATGGCCTGAGAGCCTACAACGGCCTGGTAGCTCAGAACTTGGACCACGCCAGGAATGAGAGAAACAAGATATTCCTGAAGGAAAAAAACGAGAAGAAGAGAAAACAGGAGGAAGCCATAAGGAGGTAGGATGAAAAAAAGTGCTTGCAAATATGAAAACCTCAATAGTATGTTTTGAATACATTTAAAGCAGGGAGGGGGGGGTGACATGCAACAAATGGTCCAGCCAGCTGGATATTGAAACAGGGGACTTGATGCTCAAGGGCATTTGGACCCGTGTGGTATGAGCCCAAACCACTTTGCCTTTGGGTATCCCGTGCTTAAGGATGAGGAAATTGGGACAAGTAGCCAGAGGGTTTGTTAATTTGCTATGTTATGGAGTTTACAAGTGTGGATCAGTGCACTCTGTGATCTATGGAGGATAATTAATTTTTCACTTTTAGACTTATTTGGGACTTGTCCTTGTATGGAGGTCATCACTGCTCTATTTTTGAGATGGCAAGCTTTTACGATTAAGAAGGAATGAGGTGGGCCAGGACAGTAAAACACCCAGGAAGTTAGGAAGTGAGGGTGGGAATTAGGCTGATGATGTAAGTGTTTCGAAACACCTTTATTTAAAAACCATCTGGAAACATGGAAATGTGTGTGTCTGGGTGTGTGTGAGAGGAGGGTTCTAACCAGCTTTATGAACACTCGCATGTCTGACTGCACTGTTTTTTAGAGCAGTGCCACTGAGCATGGTGAAACTGAAACTTCACTAAATAAAAGGCACACGCTGTAAACATGTGCCTAGCGTGTGGAAAAATCCTGCTTGCTGGGTGTTAGAGAACCACTGGGTGTTAGATTATCAGGAGATGATACCAGGGTATTTGGAGGGATTTTGAAAGTTGTTGGTGACAACATGGACATTTGCAATCCACAAAAACAGAGAGCAGATCTTTACAATCATGGCATAAAAAGAAACTATATCCATCAGGCATCATACTGAGTAATATGATTTTTTATTAGGTCTTAGAATGATGTCTAATCTATTAATTTAATCTAAAGTTTGTCGTAATATAGGACGGAAAGAAGCATGAGTGTACACTGGGTACTTGTAATTTATGCTTTCCAGTGTTCTCAAACATTCTAAAAATAATTTTACTTGCTCTAAGTCTTTCTGGCTCAAAGTATTTTAGCAGCTGATGGCAATTTTAGCAGCTCATCAAATAATTAAGGTGCTTTTGGGGAGTTGAGCATTTATATCTGACCAGATGTGGCTTTTTAACCTATTTATCCAGGAACACTTTGATCCCTGTCATGCTTCTCTCAATGGTCCATGCATCTCCAAAGAGCTCTGTCTCTTTTTTTGGCTCCCAGTATGACTGGATATGCAAATGGCACGTCACTTGCATGATCAAAGCTCAACTTTACACCGCTGGCATTAGAAAAACAAAGTGGCATTTTTAGAGAAAATTCAGAAATCTTTCTTTGCCTCTATTTTTAACTTACCAGCAAGATCTCAATGTCCTCATTGTTATGCAGTCCTGTACTGTAACTTTGGTGAATGGGACAGGGTGACACCTGAGGAAAGTGTCATCTGCTGTTCACTTTCTTTTAGGTGTTGCCAAACCTAAAACATTTATTCACAGTCACTGGAGAAAGAGACAAAAAATAGTTGGATTTTTTATGAGACCTATAAGTAGGTCAATGAGACGACCCATTTTTTTACAGTAAGTGAATGACTGTGAGAGTGTAAGAATTTGTGTGTGCATCCTGCGTACTATGTGCGTGCATGGGCATGAACAACTGGAAAAGGGAATATATTATTATTTATATTATTATTATTTACGAGAAAGGGTTGGAAAGAGCAAACTGACAGTGTGATCGTGTAAAGGAAAAAAGAGCTTGTTAGAACAAGTGTGTTTTAGAGTTGGGGGGAAAATGGGGGGGGAAATGTTAAAGAGAGATTAAGTGTGAGCTCAGTTGCAGGAGTTGGATTCTGCCTGGTAACAGCTGGAGCAGCCATAGGCCAATCAAATCAGCACGTTTGGTTTGAGTGAGGCGGGCCTTCCTGCCTAGCACACTCTCACTCTGGTTTTCTTTTATTGTATTTCATCAGAGGGAAAAAAGTTATCCACACAGTCACAGACATACAAATCAATTTAAATGTCTAAGAGTCTTCAAAACGACCCTTATCCAACATTCATGCACACACACGCACACACACAGATGCACACACATTTACTTATGTTTGCATATGCATGCAAATTCCCAACGACTGCCCTGCCCTTTGTGCACACGTGCATGCAGACACAAACAGACGTTTTTCCTTCCTTATTTCTCAGTACGTCATTTAGTAAGTGTTTGTTTTTTTGTTTTTGTTTTTGTTTTTTGGGGGGGGGGTTGTTTGTTTGTTTGTTTTGGGGGGGGTGCTTTGTTTTGCCATCCCATGGTGTCACAGTGAGACAACCAGAGCTGCTCAAAAACAAATCAACCCCAACTGCGCCTGCTGCACCTGTGGTCTGTCCTCTAGCCAATCACTGGGCAAATATCCTATAAATAACCCAGGCACCAGTACTCCAGTCACACCCAGCCACCCCCACACTACCAACCAATGTATATAAAAGTGCACGTCACAGCAGATGCATGCCCAAAACACCTGTGGCTGAATCTTGTTGATAAAGAATTTATAATTTCTTCATTGATGGTTTTTTTCCATATATATATATATAATATAGTTATTTACATAAACTTGTGATTTTTAACTTCTGGGTTTGTTCATTCTGTGCCTCTACATGTTTCTGCAGGTCCCTTTTTTAAACTTATATCAGCAGTATACTATTAAAACAAACCCTGCTGCGGTTATCATGTGCTTATGGTGTGCACGTGTGCTTTATTATTGTTGTGCAGTGGCAGCTGGTTTTGTGTCTGGTTTCTATGGGTACCCTGTTGCTAGGCAAAGTTAAGCCCCTGACCAATGAACCCAACCCACTGAGCACCTTCTGTTCAGCAGCTGGCCAGAGAGGGAGTCATAGTCAGCAAAGTAACAGGCTGAGAGGTCACCCCCACATACATCCATACCAACATGCATGGTTGACAATGTCACAGATGCAAATGTGAGATTTTTCAAATAGATGAATCTCTGAAATGAAGTTTAGTTCTGCTGTCTCTTTAATATGATGCTAAAACACAGTCAGATCTTGAACTCATTTACTCACCCATTTACACTCAAGCACACACTTCCCTTCACGCCATTATTGCACAACACTCAGACATCATTAACACTCCATTCAGCCCAATCATCCGTTTAAAGGGATTGATTGTGTGTGCTTGTATGAGGGTTATCAGTCATATCCAGGGTTAAACTCAAATCAATGCTTTGCCCTGAAAGAAGCCATCCTGTCAATGGCACTAACACATCTGTTATTGTTAACTTAGTGCTCTTGTCATTTTGACCACCTGCACACAATGAAATGCACATACCTACGTGCGCATACGATCAAATGAAAGACGTTTGATTGTAATGTGTTGGATTGTGGAATGTCTGTATTTCTGTGTCTTTATCTTTTTTATTCTTTGCATTCCACATTTATTCATTCTGATCTCTTAACCCTTCTCTTTGTCCTTCCTCTTTCGCTGTTTCAGATCGGGTGAGGAGATAGCAACTGAGGGCAAGCACTTGCGTATGGGCTTAAATACCATGCCAGACCCCCAGGAACGCATGCCCGTGCCCCACCTGCACCCTATCGCCTGTGGGCAGGGCTTCTCAGTACGCTCCCAGTCCCTTCACTCGGTCGGTGGTGGGAACACTGGGGGTGGAGGAGAGGAGGAAGTGGGAAGTCCAACTTCTAGGAAGCAGCCCCCGCCTAAGCCCAGGAGAGACCCAGCCACCAAGCTGAGCATGTCGTCTGAGGCAGTGGACCATAGTCCCATGTCCACCTGCCGCGGGGAGCGATGTGACGGTGAGTGGTGGTGGCACTTCACACAAGACTGATGCACTATATATAGCTAAACTGCAGGGACCTCTTCAACATTGCTTCTCTCACAATGACATGAAATTTAACTATTCAGTGTATGCTTTTCACTGACCTACCATAGGTGTAAACTGATATAAGATGAAGGGTGTAAATACAATATGGGATTGAACTGTGATTAAAGTATTATATATCATATATATCCATATTTTGGCTATGCTAAACAACATTGCAAACATGACAGCCTGAAGCACATGTATAATAATAAATGAATATTTAAAGACATCTGTGCTGCAATATGTTCTGATGGTCATGGTTTTCCATTTCGTGAGGGCTGACCTACTCTAGCATGCATTTAATAACATACCGCAAAATGAACAGGCCATATAAACTGAGAATACCATTATAATACCAAAGAAAAATTAAGAAGTTTGGGATAGGTTGTAGCTTTGTTTGAGTTTTCATTCTCACAGTCCTTTTTTTCTCTTGTTATCAAATTAGCAAATGGTAGTTTGCATATTTCTGCTTCCCAACAGATAAATCAGGCTGCATGTGGTTACTACCATGTAGAGACAGAGATGGAAGTAGTCACTTAAAATGCATGTGATTGTGTGTGTATGATAAGATCTTTGGAGCACGTTGAGATTATTTATCCTTGTGCATGTAATCAGCAGGTGTTGCTCTATATACAAACTCCATCTCTTGCTCAGCATAGTAGGTTTCAGCTCAGCAGAGTAATAATAGTGCTACTTATAGAAAGTTATTGCCACATTGTTAGTAATTTAAGCTGTTTCCGTGCATCAACTGCTTTGACAGTTCTAACCTTGCTTAAAACTCCTCTTCAAATATGCCTTGTGTCAATGTAAGACCAGTTTAGAGTAATTTAACTGAACATTATTATCCCAAGACAATTTTTCTTGCAACAAATGCAAGC